TGTTGTTTAGCACCCAGGCAGGGGTTGAACCTGCCACCCTTAGTGCATGTGGCCAGCGCCATAACCACTGCTATGGGTGCCGAGCCTCTAGTGGAATTTAAAGGAAAATATTTTCATTCAACCCCTGACCTGGGGAAGCAATGAGTCAGCCTTACTGGTATATTTCCAGCCAAGCTCTAGCTGGCATTGGGTAGTGATGTGGTACAGTATTCACATAGATTTTAATTCCATCAACAAATATTTACTGAGCACCACACACTCCATAGGGGCTTAATTTATAAACATATATTTCTTTCTTTATAGGTAAAAGGCCAAAACAATCAAGAGAAGTGGGGTTTTTTTTAATTTTTCAATACAGATTATATACAACAAGTACTATATAACAATTAACATACAGATCCTGAAACATTGAACTTCAAGAATTTTCAGGTAAAAGTAGCTAATGTAAGTAACATTTCCTGGAATACATTTAGAAGACTTTCTACAAATGCTTGTTGAAGTAAAAGTATGACACTCTAGATCAATTCTGTTAGCTATTTTTTAATGTCTGATAATTACTATTGTTAGAGAAAGAGGAGAATCAAATTCTAAGGTTATTTATATATGTATGTATATAGAGAGTGAAAGAGAAGAACCCCATAATTACAGAAAACAGAAAATAAAGGCTCCAAAATTTCTTGCAAGATGTAGCAGCCACAAATATTTAGTACCATCTTTAAGACATAAACTGCCCATCATCTTAGTACTTTTTCATAGGTAAGCCAGGAGCGGTGGCTCACACCTGTAATCCTAACATTCTGGGAGGTGGAGGTGGGTGGATTGCTTGAGCTCAGGAGTTCAAAACCAGTCTGAGCAAGATGAGACTCCATCTCTTCTAAAAATAGAAAAATCAGCTGAGCATTGTGACAGGGAGGGAAGAGGATCGCCTAAGCCCAGGATTTTGAGATTGCTGTGAGCTATGATGCCAAGGTACTCTACCAAAGACAACAAAGTGCAACTCTTAAAAAAAAAAAAAAAAAAAACCTTGTACGTACAAAAATTCCGATCCAGTTAACCGATTTTGTTTCCATTATCGGCTTGATTATGAAAGTCGGTGAGAAGATACAGCCTGGTCTAACCTATTTTAGCCCCACCACCCATCCTGCCACACTCCATTAAATCCCTGTACCCACAATACCCAGACAATTATCTGGAAAGACTCAGCCAGCTTGGAAGACACATCCTCATTGACATCTCCTAGATTCCCCAAGGTAGAGTTATATGAACTATCTTCCTCCTACCTCATCACTTTATTCATCGAGAGTTTGCTACCTGATACTCTAGTCTGTCTCTATGTTTCTTCCTTACAAGCTCCTGAAGAGCAGTAACTATGTCTTTTTTATTTTTTGGAGACAGAGTCTCATTTTGTTGCCTTCAGTAGAGTGCTGTAGTGTCACAGCTTACAGCAACCTCAAACTCTTGGGCTTAAGCGATCCTCCCATGTAGCTGGGACTATAGGCACCAGCCATAATGCCCAACTATTTTTATAGACGAAATCTCACTCTAGCTCAGGCTGGTCTTGAACCCATGAGCTCAGGCAATCCACTGCCTCGGCCTCCCAAAGTGCTAGGATTACAGGCATGAGCAGCCAAACCCGGCTATTTTTAGAAACAAGGTCTCACTCTGGCTCAGGCTGTTCTCAAACTCATGAGCTCAGGCAAGCCACCGCCTCAGCCTCCCAGAGTGTAGGATTACAGGTGTGAGCCACGGCACCTACTATGTCTTAGTTATCTTTGTAACCACAGTAAATATTTGCTTAATGGTATGACTGAATCAATTAATTTATTTCATGATAAATTCCTTTATAATTATCTTTTTTTATAATACAGGCTGCATCGTAAGCATAATTCCGTATGGTGGGAACAAGTCAGTATCTCCTATCAAGACATCACAAGGAAATAAAGAACCAGCACTTACTACATAGAAAGTTTTCTTAGAAAACTTAAGATGAACTTTATCAATATGAAATGTGGATTATTTGTTTGCTTAAGTACTCTAAGAAACAGTTTGTGTATTGCCCTTCAGGTAGCAAGAGAAAAAGAGAGTTTGTAGGCTACTTCCTGGGAGTGCACTTTTTCAAGTGGTTTATCAATTACCTAAGAACAGTTAATTAAAGGGCTCTGGGAACGAATGAGACCTGGGTACAAAGTGCAGCCATCCAGGTCGACCCAGTTTGAGATGTTTTTACTCTTTGGAAATCGGTGACTAAAATCTGCCCACGCCTACCTGGCCTGTTTTTCAGAGCTGGATGAAAGCTAAAAAAGGGCAGTCCTCCCCAGCCCTTGCAGCAATCCCTCAGGGTGTGGCATAGATAACAAATCAGATGTATGATGGTAAGCTTGTGGGCTTCAACTTCCCTTATTCTCTCTCCATTAAAAGCAGGATGGAAGATGAGGGAGGTGGAATTGGTGAGAAATTTGATGTTTTCCTTTTCTGGGATGTAGTTGCAACATTAGGGTAGCAGAGTGAAGACTATGGACTCTAGGGCAGGCCTGCGTTTGAATCCCAGTTGCACACCTGCCTACTGTGTGACCTTGAGCAACCAACTTTACCTCACTGTACCCAGTGAAACTGGGTTAATAATATCTTCCTCTTGCCTTGTTGAAAGGATTAAATAAGAAAATGCATTTAAACTCTTGGTGTAATGCCTGACATAGTAATAGCTTTTAAATTAAAATGTTAGGGTTGAGCGGCACCTGAGGCTCAATGAGTAGGGCGTCATCCCCATATACTGAGGGTGGCGGGTTCAAACCCTGCCCCAGCCAAACTGCAACAAAAAATACCTGGGCATTGAGGTGGGTGCCTATAGTCCCAGCTACTCAGGAGACTGAGGCAAGAGAAGTGCCTAAGCCCAAGAGCTGGAGGTTGCTGTGAGCTGTCCACCCAGGGGGACAAAATGAGACCCTAGTGCCAGCCAAAAACTGCAAAAAAAAAAAAAAAGTTAGGGTTACGATGATATGCACCTGTCATGTGTGTGCAGGTTTCTAACTGAGGTGCCCAAGTGGAGAGTTTATGAGAAAGATCAAACTTTTGAACATGTTGAATTTGAGATGTCTGTAGGTGTGGAGCACTAGCTAGTGATCTACATGGAACCTTTGGAATTTTTTTTTTTTTTTGAGACAGAGTCTCACTCTGTTGCCCAGGCTAGAGTGGTGTGGCATCAGCCTAACTTAGAGCAACCTCAAACTCCTGGGTTCAAGTGATCCTCCTGCCTTAGCCTCCTGAGTAGCTGGGACTACCAGTGCCCACCACAATGCTTGGCTGACTTTTCTATTTTTAGTAGACATGGGATCTCACCCTCACTTAGGCTGGTCTTAAACTCATGAGCTCAAGGGATCTACTAGTATGACCTCCTAGAGTGCTAGGATTATAGGCGTGAGACACCATACCCAGCCTGGGCAAGGGGTTTTAAGGTGGATATAGCAGAAGGACTAGAAGCAGGGCAGTTGGTGTTTTAGTGAAAGAGGGTTAAACTGGTAGATGAAGTTCACTTTTAACTTTTGTGCAAGCTGAGGCAAGAGTACCATTGGAAGCCCACCTCTGATCTCTTCCCATACCACAAGGGGCCATCTGCACATGTGTATGGAATCCCCCACCTGTATGTCCAAACTCCAACCACATTCTCCCCTATTCATGGCCACTCCAAAGTCCAAGACGTGTAAAAGCCAGTGGTGCAGTTCACTCTCAGGAGAACAGACCCAGGGACCAGGTTTTGGGAGCCATGTGAGTAAGGAATTCTGGAGTCCTGGGTACTCAGCATAGCTGCCTGATGAGGGTGGCACTCCACCTGGGCACAACCCCTCAGCTCTCTGGGGCTGGATGCAGACACAGGAGAGCCAAAGGGGGGCCTGTTGAAGTGCAGCAGTCATCCGAGTCTAAGGGTGGAGCTGTAGGGAAGCCCGTGAGAATGAGAAAATAGGGGATTTGACGGACTGGAGGTCTGAGGGAGATGGAACACTAAGAATCACAAGAGTAGAAAAGGGGGAACTGAAAAGGTTGTGGTTACAAGGTGGAATATCTGATTTTGTCATTTCTAAGCAACATCTCCAAGTGGTGATCAGAAGAACAAACATGAAGAAGCTTAAGAAACTCAAGGGAGTGGTATGGTTCCTCCATCCACTCTTAGGAGTCTCCTGGGATGATCATGGGGCTTTAGGTGGTGAAGACTATATAGCCAAGTCTTTGATAAATGTGAGAAAATATCTAAAGGGTCACTTGGATGACAGTGACAACTAGAGGTAGGGAGTGATATAGCAGGAAGGCAGTGGCCTCCAGGACTAGAATTGCAATGAAGTGATGATTTGGAAACCCCTTTGGGGATTGAGGAGAACATTTACCTGTGTTAAAACCTGGCAGAATGAGGAGCTTGAGAGAATGAGCACACTTGCTAGGGGAGGCGATGGGTTCTCCAGGGGTCCAGGTTTTAACTAAGACCAAGTGGAAAAGCCAGTGCCCTGTGATGAGGTTGAAGAAGTAGGAACGTTTGACTAGCAAGAAACTGGGACTATGAGAGAAATTCACCAGATGGTGGAGCTGAACATTTGGGACAGGGCAGGATGTGTGGCAAGAAAGGATACTCAGAGCAGAGAGAAAACACTAAGTTCATCAGTGTTTGATAGGTCGAAGATGTAATACCAGAAACCTTAAATAATAAAATTTTATAACCTGACCTTCTATCTTGGTAAGCTCAGTGTATAGATTAACTCTTACTGGTATGATAAAGGACATGAAATTTGAACAATCTTACAGAAAAGCCATTTTTCTATTCCAGTCATATTGTCAGTACCTTTGGCCCAACTCCTTGTAGAAAGAACGGAAAGCCGATTCTGTCACCCTGTGCTCCTGATAATAGTGCACACTGGTACCGAGTTCTGTGTAATGAGGATTAGATGAGTGCAAACACCTCAGTAAGAGAGTTCTCCTCTTTCTCTCTCTCTCTCTTTGCCCTTCCTTCCTTCCAGAGAAGACACCCAGCAACCTTATTCGTGAGTGGAAATGAGAAAAGACACCGGTGGGAGGGCCCAGGTAGGACTGAATACAGCACTGTCTGGTGGAATTTCAGGAATGGGATCATCCAGTCAGGGCTGTCCATCTGAACTTTCTGCAGTGGTGAAAACGTTCTCTCTCTGCGATTTCCGGTATAGTAGCGGCCTAACAACAAATGGCTGTTTAGTTTTTGGCACATGCCTGAGGAACTGAATTTTTTATTTTATGTACTTTTAATTCTCTGAAATTTAAATAGCCACATGTGGCCACTGTGTTGGATGGCATAAATCTAGTGGATAAGGTGCAGCTTGGCTGAAGGTTTCAAGGAAAAAGTGAACTAAGTGCCTGAAGAAACAGGTGAGCCCTGGTGAGCTGTGTTCCTGGGCTTTGGCATTGTGGAAATCAGAAAGAAAGGAGCCTCACCTGGGCTTTAACAGTGCCCTGATAAGTTGTCAGGAGAAAGATGATTTAGACAAAACAATGGTTAGAAAACATAGCTTTATGAAGAGTACAAATGAAAATTAGAGGGGAGTATTTCTGATAAAATAGCCAAACAAGAGAAGCAATTAAAATAAACTTCTACAGGAATTCCAGTCTGGGGAAATTGATTTAAGACAGACCTCAACAGCAGCAGAGTTCAAAGCAAATACTAGAAATATTTGCCAAGTATTTCAAAGAATTGGGGCAAACCCAATATATAATACAGTAACACTATGTGGAAAAGAATGGAAAAAATATAAATTGTGGGAAAGTGGAAGTTGTGACACTTAATATAATGGAATTTCACTGTAGTCCTGGCTCTGATAAAACACATTTGGCTGTGTGAATGTTTGTGATGATGAAGGAAGACGGTATTGCTGGATTATTTTAGCCATGTCAGTCCCACCTTGTTTCAAATATGTAATGAGTATCTACTATCTCAGTGCTTAGCAGTGAGCAGTGTGTTGAGGTGGTGGGCCTGTGATGAAAGAAACGTACAGTGGTCATTATGCTTGAGAAAGTCCCAGTCTGGTTTAGAACTCGAAGAAACTAGTTGAAAATATGATAACAGTAATTTAAGTGTCTAAAGTGAATGGTGCAGATGAAAGGTAATAGACGCTCAGAGCTGGGGGAACCGGGATGGCCAAAGCCTTGATGGGAGGAAATGCACACCTTTAAACTATGCTTCAAAAGAAAATGAATCCAGTACGTCAGAACATTTTTGAATGTACATTCCAGAAAATATTTTACAAAAGTTTCAGGACCATAATTCACTCAGAGTAATTGTGGCATGCTCATTTGTCCAAATGAAACTCTGCAACTTTGGTCTCTGTCAAAATCTGTGCAAAAGCTTTCTTCCTTTGCCTAAGTGCTTTGTTTTTTGAGCATAGGAGATTATAGTGCTAATATACTAATGTACTTTCTTATCCATTCCAGTAAGAGAATGGACAGGAAAGTACATTAGTATATTAGCACTATAATCTCCTATGCTGTATTATTTCTTGGTGAGAAATTTCACAGCATTGTGATTTGAAAATTCCTTTAAAGACAAGAGGAGATAGTAATGAAGGTATGGTTAAGACAAAAATAAGGAGCCTGGAAATTTGTGGGAGGAAAAAAAAAGCTAGTGCTTAATGAGACAGTCGGAACCACGGTTTTGATCTAGATTTTCATTTTCCAATCATTGTATGTAGTAACTCCTATAGAAAAAGGCAGGCTCAGGCTATGTTGCCTGCTTTTGACTTATGATAGCTCTTAGATGCAAAAAAGTCGATGAAAATCTTCACCACATTCTCAAAAGTACTGGCACTGCTGCTAAAATGAGTACAGGTGCCCTGGTTTTCAGCCCAGGTGCAGTTCTCCAGGGCAGCCAAGCCACTGCGGGGGAAGCAGATATCAATGTACCAGCATCCAGAGCATTAGATGAGCATGAAGACATAGCAAAGGGGAAGGAGAGGGATGTGAGCAGAATGAAGGTGGAAGAGGGACAGCAGACATAATGCAGAAAGATCAAAATATTTTAATTAAAATTATAAAGAGTCCCCGTCTCCATTCCTTTAATTTGATAACAAGAATTAAAAATCCCAAGGAGAATTAAAGTAAAATTTCAGAAGGTAAGAAAAGAAGGCATTAAAATTAAAAAAAAAATTTTTTTTTTGGTAGAAACAGAGTTTTACTTTATCACCCTCAGTAGACTGCTCTGGTGTCACACAGCTCACAGCAACCTCCAGCTCCTGGGCTTAGGCGATTCTCTTGCCTCAGCCTCCCGAGTCCAGTAGCTGGGACTACAGGTGCCTGCCACAACGCCTGGCTATTTTTTTGTTGCAGTTCGGCCGGAGCCAGGTTTGAACCCCCCACCCTTGGTATGTGGGGCCGGCGCCCCACCCACTGATTCACAGGTGCTGCCCTAGCAGTGTGTTTCTTGTATGCCTCAGCCCCTACCAGCTACACTGCTTCAGCTTTCCTCATTTTCAGTCAAATCTATAGAGAATTGCTTAGGTGTATCTCTCTAGTTCTTTTTTTTTTTTTTTTGAGACGGAGCCTCAAGCTGTCCCCCTGGGTAGAGTGCCGTGGCCTCACAGCTCACAGCAACCTCCAACTCCTGGGCTCAAGCGAGTCTCCTGCTCAGCCTCCCAAGTAGCTGGGACTACAGGTGCCTGCCACAACGCCCGGCCATTTTTTTGGTTGCAGCCATCATTGTTGTTTGGCGGGCCGGGCTGGGGATTCGAACCCGCCACCTTAGGTGTATGTGGCTGGCGCCTTAGCTGCTTGAGCCACAGGCGCCGAGCCATCTCTCTAGTTCTTTACCACCTTCTTAGTCTTTTTTTAATTTTTTCTTTGAGATAGACTCTTGTTATGTCGCCCTAGGTAGAGTGCCATGGTGTCACAACTCATAGCAACCTCAAACTCTTAGGCTCAAGTGATTCTCTTACCTTAGCCTCCCAAGTAGCTGGGACTACAGCCACCCACCATAATGCCCAGCTATTTTTTTGTTGCAATTGTCATTGTTGTTTAGCTGGCCTGGGCTGGGTTCGAACCTGCCAGCCCGGGTGACCTTACCCACTGAGCTACAGGCACCACCACCTTCTTAGTGTTTAATTGTAGTAATCTGCGTTACACCCCTAGAACTCTATAGATACTGCTCTCATGAAAGTCATCAGTGGCCTTCCTATTACTGTAGGCAGTGGACACTCTGCAGCCTGGTTGTACACTCCCTCCCCTTTTTGCTGCTTGCTTTTCACAACTTCCTAGAACCCACTTTGGCCTGGTTTTCCTTCTACCTCATTGATTATACTACAGTTAGATCCTAGTTGTTTTTCTCTTCTCACCCTGCAAACTCCCTTGGGTCAGGTCAGCCACCCTTACAAGTACAATTACTACTTAATCCTAATGAATTCTACTTATATGTTCCATAGCCATTTCAAACTTAGCATGTGCAAAATTGAGTTTCTCTATTTCTCCCTGAAAGCCACCTCTCCCTTGACTCCCTTGACTCTTCACCACCACCACCCTCCTACGTCCATTCAGTACCAAGTTATGTTGATTCCAAGTTACATCTCCTGGATATCTTTTAAATCACTTCACTTCCCCCTATTTCTAGTTTAATATCCTTTCATCAGATGCCCCAAATATAGTAACAGCTTCCCTCTAAAATGATCTCTCTCTTACAAACCTTTCAACTCATTGTGTCTCAGTGATTTCTCTAAAATGTAAATGTTTCACGTGATTAAAACCTTTGATGTTGGTTCTACTATCACCTTCAGAGTAAGGTTGAACATAATGATTCCCAGGGCTCTTCATTTGCTAGTACTTTCTTTAAAAAAAATTCATTATATGAAAAAGGGGAGCAGGAAAGTAATAAGGTAGGCTCAAATTTTCTTTTTTTAAGACAGTCCTACTTTGTTGCCCTGGGTAGAGTGCCATGGCATTGCTTACTGCAACCCCCAGCTCCTGAGCTTTCAAGCAATCCTCTTGCCTCAGTCTTCTGAGCAGCTGGGACCACAGGCATGTACCATGACACACAGCTGGTTTTTCTTTAAATTTTTTATGGAGATAGGGGTCTTGCTCTTGCTCAGGTAGGTCTTCAACATCTGAGCTCAAGTAATCCTCTCATCTCAGCCTCTTAGAAAGCCAGGGTTATAGGTGTGAGCCACTATGCTCAGCCATTTGCTAGTTTTTACTTAACTTTTCAGCTTTCTCTCACCTTATGGCCTTGGGCTTTGAGTTCCTGCACTGTTAGAGATCTTGGTTTGCTCATTGTTCCTTCTAGAAAGTCTTCCTTGACAGCCCCCTTGTCCCAAGATCAGAATGGATAGCTCTTCTGTGGTTTTTCAGAGTTCTCTCTGGTTGCACTCATCTCAATGTGGTCTAGTTGCGTGTTTATCCCTGTGTCCTTTCTAGTATAGCAGGATAGCAAGTCCCAGCCAATTTTTATTGCATCACCATGAGCAGACACACATACAGTACAAACTCATAAACATTTTCTGAGTGAATGACCATAAACCAGTTATTAGAATGTGAATTCTGAATCCCTACTGCCTGCTTTTCAATCCTAGCTTCCTATGTGATGTTGGGTAAGTTACTTCTCTGTGTTTTAATTTTCTCTTCAGTAAAATGAGAATAACCGCAGTATGTAACTCACAGGGTTGGAAGACTGAGAGAGTTAACTACTTGAAGAACATTTTGAGTAGTGTCTAAACACACAGTAAATGTTAACTATTAAATGTAAAATTTTTATTTATAAGATACATACACACACATATGCTAGAGAAAGAGATACACATATACGGTATCAATATTATATTAATTTTTTAATGTTTTAAGAGAGTAAGGGATTGATACCATTATTATTATTATTATTTTAATAGAGACAGTTTCCCTTTATTACCTGTGGTAGAGTGCCATGGCATCACACAGCTGACAGCAACCTCCAACTCCTGGGCTTTGGCAATTCTCTTGCCTCAGCCTCCCGAGTATCTGGGACTACAGGTACCTGCCACAACGCCTGACTATTTTTTGTTGCAGTTTGGCTGGGCCGGGTCTGAACCTGCCATCCTTGGTTTATGGGGCCAGCGTCCTGCCCACTGAGCCACAGGTACCACCTGATACCATTATT